TACAACTAAACATTCAAAGTCTGACTTACAACAACAACAAACAGCTCCTCAATATGTTTCTAATAAACAACGAAATAGACATTGCAATCCTTTCGGAGATCTGGGTTGTAAATAATGCCGACTGCAGTATCTTAGATTACAACTTCATCGGCAAGCCCAGAGAAGACGGCTACGGCGGAGTAGGAATCTATATTAGAAAGAAAATTAGATTTAGCATTCTGAAAATAGACTGTGATCTAGAGATCGTAGGTATTAAAACCCTGAACCTCAAAAGCAACCTTAACATTTTCAGCGCATACGCTGCGCCTTCAACGACACTTTCCCAATTCAAATCGGGCATTAAAAAGGTGTTCGAGCTTGCGGAGTCCCTAGACTACCCTTCAGTCGTAGAAGGAGATTTCAACGCCAAGTCTTCCATCTGGGGAAACCCTTCCAGTGACCGCAAGGGTCGCAGCATCGAGAATGCTACTCGTGAGGCGGGTTTTATCTGTCTTAACGACGGATCTCCAACGTTTTCCAGGAACCCTTCCCAATCCTCTGTTCTTGACCTCACCTTTTCTAATCACAGGGTCGGTAGAATCGACTGGCAAGCCCTTAAATCCAAGATAACCAACAGCAACCACTTCCCAATCGTCATAACAGTCGAAGGGTTAGATGCCTCCATTCAAGAGAAGAAAGTGCTGCACAATAGAATAAATCGTATTTTAGGAGCAAGCAGTTTTACCAATTTTTTACCCTGCGCTTTTTAGCATACGCGACTTTTACAATTCCAACGAAAACTCCAAGTCCCAAAATTATGGATGCTAGAGATCTAGTGTCAGATAAAAGTCTTACGATTTAGATTAAAAGAAAGATTATATCTAAGGATGAGGCGGCATCGGCAGAAGAGACCCGAACGGCTACTTCAACATTAGATTCTATGACGTCAGCCGTAATAAATGTTGGGTGATCTCCGAAAGGATTGCAATGTCTATTTCGTTGTTTATTAGAAACATATTGAGGAGCTGTTTGTTGTTGTTGTAAGTCAGACTTTGAATGTTTAGTTGTAGAATCTTCATTGTTTTTTGTTAGAGTATCCCGCTTCCACCCCTTGCACAATTTGCAAGCGGTCGTGTTCAGCATTGGAGGAGTTAACATACTCCAAGATCTGTTGGAAAAACTTCTTCACCAATTCCCCCTTGGAAATGTTGATGGGTTCCACCAGGAACGCTGTAAGCATGGATCCCAGTGCGTTAAGCTTTTCCTGGGCCACAGATGAGACCCCGGACGTTGTTCTCACGAATTTTTCACTTAACTGTGGGCTATCTGCGTTGATAGCGTTCCTCCATTCTGCCATGTTGGCAGCTGCCTTAGCCGACTCCGAATTGCGTGCTGCCGCTCTTTTGGCTTTGGTCACCTCGGCGAACGAAGCAACCGAGTGAATTTCCCTAGCTGCCTCAGTGTTGCTGTTTTGGCGTTCGGGGAGGATGCCGTTTTGCCATGTGGGTGGGGGAAACTCCCCTGGGTCCCCTGGGTTGGGTGGAGATCTACCAAAGAGTACCGGGTACCTAGCCTTGACCTCAGATCGTGATAATTTTTCAAGCGTCATGCTTTTTTGAATAGCATACGCTTTCCTTCTGGCCTCGCATTGCGGGTGCGTAGCCGCGTGGTTTCCCTTGCAGTTAGCACAGCTTAGCCCCGAGCATAGAGTGTTAATGCTGTGGTCCCGACCACATTTGAAACATCTAGGTAGGCTCTTGCAGTGCTTCGCCATATGACCAAACCTGAAGCACCTGAAGCATTGGCTAAACTGGACGAAAGGTTTTACTGCTACCTTGGTGTATAGGAACTTGATTTCCTTGGGCAGCTGCTCCCCTCTAAACCATAGTTTGACCCTGCCGGTGGGTACCCTATCCCCCGAGGTTCTGTCAGTTCTGGTAATTCGTTGTATTCCCTCTAGCGGGACGTCCGAGATGATCAGCTCCGAGAGCTGCTCCTCCGAGTGGTGGCCAGGGATCCCAAAGATTAGACCCGCCCTTTGCACAAAGTGCCGCAAAATTCGGGGAGAGTACCCGTGGGCGGCGAAGGCACTGTTTTCCACAAGTCTGTTTGCACCGTCGGCCGACCTACATACAATCTTGCACCTGCCATAGCCGACCCTCGCGACCTCCTCTATACCGCCAAGTCCCAGTTTTATCAACAGTTCGGATAGCTCGAACTGGNTTGGGAAGTGGTTGCTGTTGGTTATCTTGGATTTAAGGGCTTGCCAGTCGATTCTACCGACCCTGTGATCAGAAAAGGTGAGGTCAAGAACAGAGAATTGGGAAGGGTTCCTGGAAAACGTTGGAGATCCGTCGTTAAGACAGATAAAACCCGCCTCACGAGTAGCATTCTCGATGCTGCGACCCTTGCGGTCACTGGAAGGGTTTCCCCAGATGGAAGACTTGGCGTTGAAATCTCCTCCTACGACTGAAGGGTAGTCTAGGGACTCCGCAAGCTCGAACACCTTTTTAATGCCCGATTTGAATTGGGAAAGTGTCGTTGAAGGCGCAGCGTATGCGCTGAAAATGTTAAGGTTGCTTTTGAGGTTCAGGGTTTTAATACCTACGATCTCTAGATCACAGTCTATTTTCAGAATGCTAAATCTAATTTTCTTTCTAATATAGATTCCTACTCCGCCGTAGCCGTCTTCTCTGGGCTTGCCGATGAAGTTGTAATCTAAGATACTGCAGTCGGCATTATTTACAACCCAGATCTCCGAAAGGATTGCAATGTCTATTTCGTTGTTTATTAGAAACATATTGAGGAGCTGTTTGTTGTTGTTGTAAGTCAGACTTTGAATGTTTAGTTGTAGAATCTTCATTGTTTTTTGTTAGAGTATCCCGCTTCCACCCCTTGCACAATTTGCAAACGGTCGAGTTCAGCATTGGAGGAGTTAACATACTCCAAGATCTGTTGGAAAAACTTCTTCACCAATTCCCCCTTGGAAATGTTGATGGGTTCCACCAGGAACGCTGTAAGCATGGATCCCAGTGCGTTAAGCTTTTCCTGGGCCACAGATGAGACCCCGGACGTTGTTCTCACGAATTTTTCACTTAACTGTGGGCTATCTGCGTTGATAGCGTTCCTCCATTCTGCCATGTTGGCAGCTGCCTTAGCCGACTCCGAATTGCGTGCTGCCGCTCTTTTGGCTTTGGTCACCTCGGCGAACGAAGCAACCGAGTGAATTTCCCTAGCTGCCTCAGTGTTGCTGTTTTGGCGTTCGGGGAGGATGCCGTTTTGCCATGTGGGTGGGGGAAACTCCCCTGGGTCCCCTGGGTTGGGTGGAGATCTACCAAAGAGTACCGGGTACCTAGCCTTGACCTCAGATCGTGATAATTTTTCAAGCGTCATGCTTTTTTGAATAGCATACGCTTTCCTTCTGGCCTCGCATTGCGGGTGCGTAGCCGCGTGGTTTCCCTTGCAGTTAGCACAGCTTAGCCCCGAGCATAGAGTGTTAATGCTGTGGTCCCGACCACATTTGAAACATCTAGGTAGGCTCTTGCAGTGCTGCGCCATATGACCGAACCTAAAGCACCTGAAGCATTGGCTAAACTGGACGAACGGTTTCACTGCTACCTTGGTGTACAGGAACTTGATTTCCTCTAAACTAGAGTTTGACACTGCCGGTGGGTACCCTATCCCCCGAGGTTCTGTCAGTTCTGGTAATTCGTTGTATTCCCTCTAGCGGGACGTCCGAGATGATCAGCTCCGAGAGCTGCTCCTCCGAGTGGTGGCCAGGGATCCCAAAGATTAGACCCGCCTTTTGTACAAAGTGCCGCAAAATTCGGGGAGAGTACCCGTGGGCGGCGAAGGCACTGTTTTCCACAAGCTTGTTTGCACCGTCGGCCGACCTGCATACAACCTTGCACGTGCCATAGCCTATCCTCGCGACCTCCTCTATACCGCCAAGTCCCAGTTTTATCAAAAGTTCGGATAGCTCGAACTGGTTAATTGCAATCCCGGAATTATTATCGCTTAATTTGTCTATTTACACTTCAAAAGGGCCATTGTGACCCTCGTAGTCTTTGTTTTCATTAGTATTTGCTTTCAATTCATTTGTCGTACTCACTGACGTCTGACAAACCTCTACATGAGACTTCTGTTTTTCACTCGTAGTCGTTTTTTAGGTTTATTTATCGTTTCTTTCTCCTTCATGATGGTTTTCGTCGTCGTCGCTGTTGTTTTTCCCGCCTTTTTTACGCCTGCCTCAAATGCAGGTCTGGTGTCTTTTTCCCTGCTTTTTCGAGTCTCCACTAGGATCCTTGATCCTGTCGCCTTCTCCGTGGCCATCCTGGTCTTTCCTAGGCCTGCCATAGTTCCAGATTTCGCTGCTCCAGATTCCGTGTGACTGGCTTATCTGGGCCGAAATTGAGCCGAGGCAAGGTTTTCCGAAAAACTACGGATCCACTAAATGTTTTCACCAGCCGTCTTTATTTGTTTGTGGGGCAACCACTAATGATCGAATTATTGCTTTTTATTAAAGGATTTAGGCGAAATTTCGTGAAATCAACTAATTTTTTCCTTTGGGGGAAATACGAAGGTACCAAGGTTGAACAAAGGTTGGAAGCGGGAAATCTTCAGGATACCTCAAAGAGGACATAGGCTGGGCAAATAGACAGTTGTAAAATGGAACCCCAAAGAGGGAACAGAACACAAAATGTTAAACACATAAAAAGATCAAAGACTGCTTAGCAGCAGCGCATTTGAAAATTAAAATGCACATAGTTCCAAGTAAAATTTGTGATACTTGCGATACTATCGATAACGCATCGCATACATTTTGAAATTGTACCAAGTACAATACAACAAGCCTACCCATCGCTAAGGAAACAATAATATCTAAAATTTCTTAAAAAAAACATTCGAGAACATCGCAAACATTGATGTAAAACTGTAATAAGCTATTAGCCGTGGCGATTTCCACCCTGTATAGGCGGGTTGCCAAATAATCCCTGTACTCTAAAACCAAAAAAGAAAGCATGCCGAAAGTTGTTTCTCGCAGCATTGTGTGCTCCGATACAAAGGATCAGGAGGAGTACAGTGAGGAGAAGCCGCTTAACATATACTACTGCCTATGCAATAAAATGGCGCTGATTTTGGGTTAGTATGACAGATTTTCTCGAAGCAAGCTGGACGCCAATGGATTAATATCGTTTCAACAGATTGCACCCTGGATCAGTTGCCGTTGCGAGAATTGGACAATGCCCGAGTAATAAATGCCAACGAGCACGCCAACAAGCTGACCTACAATCCAAAACCAAAAGTACTCTACATTCGCCGCAAGGGCAGGGGCAACGCGATAGAGAAACAGTTCCGTTATAAGGTACGTATTCTGGCGAAATCATTTAAATCATTGCTCACTCTATTTGCACTTGGCAGTGCCGCAGCTGCGATCTTCCACTTTACTACCGACACAATCCGGACTCCCATGTCACCTTCGTGATGTTCAATGCTCTGGTTAACGCCAAGAACGATCAGCCGCTGGCTCAGCTGCTGGGCGCAGAGGCAAGAAACAAAGCCAAGCTGGCGTCTGCTGCCTCAGCGCCGGCTGTCGGAGGTGAGGATTCCGGTATAGTCGATGCCAGTGGAAAGAAAGTCATGGTCACGCGGCACACAAAGAATATGGGCAAATTCAGCTCCGTGACAGTGTCCACCATAGACGAAGAGGAAGACGAAATTGAAGCGGTATGCCAGTCTAGACTACGAACGAGATACAAATATTCCAAACCTCTTTTTACTTTGCACAGCGCGAGATTGCCGATAGCTATGCCAATAATGCGCGCATCATTGAGAAGCAGTTGCAACGCAAAGGAGGAAAACTCAGCGACGTGGGCGTCAGAGGAAAGACGGAGGACGCGCCTCCACCTCAGAAAAAACAGCGGGGCACTCTGCTGGAGAGATAGCTCTATGTATTTGTATAGAATATCTCTTATCATGCATATGTATTATGTGCTGATGCTGATAAAGAGGACCCTTTATAAATAAAACGGCGAGAACTAATTAATTCCGATCAGTGTTCGTTCGGCATCGATCTTAAGCAGTGTCAAAGCACAGATGTAATTAAATTATAATTAATGAAGCCGTTTGTATTTGTAAGTATAGAATTTCAAATTGAGTATTTTGTTCGATTGAGAAAGAACATTGGTGAGGGCTCAAGAACGTGTCTCAGTCGGTTTGTGATGCGCGAAGAGTTGTACAAAGCTGTGATTTCAAGCGGGCTTTCCGTGAATTTTCAAATGTATCCATCCCATTCTTGCGAATATAGATTTTGCTCAAGCTCCCTGCAGCATCAGCTAACCGTCTCAGATTATTTATCAATAATTATTTTATTCAAAAATAGTTTTTATTTCACCCATAGACTAGATGTTCAGCTCCTGTTTAACGATGCTTTTTAGACTGGTTTTTGTTTTCTTATTTTGTGTGCTCAAAGGGAATCAAGCTGTAGTCCATTGGAACTACACTCAGTGCGATTCAGTTGCTGAAAAATGTGTGTCATATCGTGACTGTATTAATGCAAGGAATTTACAGTATATCAAAGTTTGTGCTTTGCGAGCAATTTGCTGTCCGATTCCAAAACGACGGCATGCAGACACACCATCCTCGAGAGGTGAGTACGTGGACAATGTTGAAGTGATTCATTTGTGTAGCTACCAAAGAATCAGTGTTGAAGCAAACATAATTCAAACTGAACCATTCTGATGTATTTATTTACTCTTTACCTTTGCCGAAACCCAACTCAACTCGCAGCTTGTCTAAAATACTCAAAGGATAACACTTTTTGTCCGTCTCATTTGTTTGTATCCCATTCAAATGAATCAATTCGAAATGAGTTACAATACATGGCGCATATCGCTCAGAGGAACCCAAATGGCACTTACAAAATCGGAGACTGCGGCGGCACACTGATACATAACAAATTTGTGCTAACTGCTGCCCACTGTGTCAATCGTGAACGTAACATTGGTACACAGGAGGAGTAAGTTCATTTACATCAACATAATCATTATTAAAAACCATATCCTTAGAGAATTTGTGGTGCGCCTAGGAGGTCATAATGCCACAGATGGCGATATATATGAAGTAGCTAGAAAAATTCCGCACCCCGACTATGATGGTGATGTTATGAACGATATTGCCTTGGTGGAGTTGACTTCAAAAGTTGTGTTTAACGATCGAATTAAGCCTGCCTGCTTACCAACAACTAGTGGAGATGAGCATGATAGTATGACTGTCTCGGGATGGGGACGATATAGCGCAACTACTCCCAATGCCCAATCCCCTGTGTTGCGCAAGGCTGACTTAAAACTGTTTCATTTGTCCGAGTGCGGCCCTGAAGCGCTGGAGGAAATGCATATTTGCGCTGGTGGAGATAAACAAACAAGCGATTCATGCCAAGGAGATTCGGGCGGACCACTCGCTATTTGGCATCCAGAATGGGGCTCGTGTCTGGGGCAGGTATTCGGCATTGTTTCACATGGATCGCTGTGCCATGAACCGTCTCCACGTACAAAATATATTCGGGTCTTTCATTATCTTCGATGGATTGAGGATATAGTATGGAATGTCACCAGTGAAAATACGGACTGAAAATACGTGTTTTCAAAATAAACAGTCACCAACATTGCATATACTATATTAGGCGTCTTTACTCATCTAAAAATGCAATTATTCATTTAAATAAATATGTATTTCCATTGAAAAGTGTATATTACCTTCCTATATAAGCGAGGATCAGTTTCCTCTGGTTCGTTAAGGTGTTCCAGATGTTGCTTCGAGATAACGGCGTTCGATCTAAGAGATTTTGGTTTGCAGATCAGGCCCAGCAAAAAGCTGAATAGCTTAATGGCAGGCTTCTCCAGCTTTTCTTCACATAACTGAAGTATCTTTTAAATTAATTTTCGAAAATTTCTACAACAAGAATAGACAAGAAAATACTCAAAAAATAATAGAAAAATGCAAGGTGTGTGACCCAAACAAGGTCGTAGCACTCTTCTTTTTAATATTACCAGCAAATAAGTCTCAGTCTCTACAAACAATTGCTTCATCAAACCAATCAAATATAGTTTTTTTACTGATCGGTAAATAAAATAAAATATCAAAATCAAGCAAAATTAATTACGAATCGGTTTATTTTCTGTATATTTTAAAAATGATTAGGTATATTTCACGAGGCCTCCTAGGGTCAGTCGGTATATTTGATCGATAGCCCGCGGTCACACTGGAGAGTATAGTTTTCTCGCTCGCACTGCATGCTTTTCCCATAAGGCCCATAATATTTGGTCGCACTGCCTACCTCGAAGAGTTAAAATTTATAAATTTATCAACAGCCACAACTTTTCAACTCGGCAAATTCCACCTTGGCGAAGGCGAGGCAAACAATTCCAGGCCACACACGGGCAGCGCGTCGCGGTAACGCAAAACCCCAAAAAACAAGAAAAATAAGAAAAGGAAAAATAAAGATACATATTCTGAAAACAAGTACAAGTGTTGAAGAAGTGTTGGAAGTGTTGTTGTTTTGTTCGCTGTGCTGTGAATCGGGAATGTGAAAAGAAAAAAAAAGTTTTAAAGTAACACAAATCGATTAAATCAAACATGCAGCTATTTCAAAGGCACAGCTGAACGCCACTATACTCGTTGGTGTGTGTTCTTCGTGTGTGTTTGGTGTTGGTGTGGTTGTTGTTGTTGTTGGTTAATACAAACAACAAGAAGAGTAAGCAGAACGGGACGCTGACGCTGACACCGACAGCGACGCTGCAAGCGACGGCTCTGCCGCGGAGAAAATGTTTTCCGGACCCGGTAGCCATGCCATTAGCTATAGCGGTGGGATCAGCATTGGTGGAGGAGGCGGTGGCCTGCATCAGGACTGCGATGGCTACGACTTCACGAAGAACGAGAACGCCGCGCGTTGGCGTGGTCTGTTCATACCCTCATTGAGGAAGGTGCTGGAGCAGGTGCACCCGCGGGTGACTGCCAAAGAAGATGCCCTGCTCTATGTGGAGAAGCTGTGCCTGCGACTGCTGGCCCTGCTCTGTGCCAAGCCGCTGCCCCACTCGGTCCAAGATGTCGAAGAGAAGGTGAACAAATCTTTTCCCACGCCCATCGACCAGTGGGCCCTCAAGGAGGCCAACGAGGCGATCAACTCTAAGAAAAAGAAATCAGTTCTGCCCACGGAACGGGTGCACACCCTCCTCCAAAAGGATGTGCTGCAGTACAAGATCGACAGCTCGGTGTCCGCCTTCCTGGTGGCTGTCCTCGAGTATATCTCTGCGGATATACTCAAAATGGCCGGCGATTATGTGTGCAAAATTTCACACTGCGAGATCACCAAAGAGGACATCGAGGTGGTCATGAACGCTGATCGTGTCCTCATGGATATGTTGAATCAGAGTGATATTAAAACCAGTCCGCTGTCACTGCCCGCCCAGAGGGCTAGCGCGACCTACGAGGAAACGGTCAAGGAGCTGATCCACGACGAGAAGCAATACCAGCGAGATCTCCACATGATCATACGCGTCTTTCGCGAGGAGCTGGTGAAGATTGTGTCGGATCCCAAGGAACTCGAGCCAATATTCTCCAACATAATGGACATCTACGAGGTGACGGTCACCCTGCTCGGCTCCCTAGAGGATGTCATTGAGATGTCGCAGGAGCAGAATGCGCCCTGGGTGGGCAGCTGCTTCGAGGAGCTGGCCGAGGCCGAGGAGTTCGATGTGTACAAAAAGTATGCACACGATGTGACCTCGCAAGCATCACGGGATGCGCTTACAAATCTCTTATCCAAGCCAGGGGTGAGTTCGCTTCCGATATTCAAAGAACTAAATTAATTGTTCCTTTTGTTTCAGGCCTCATCCTTGATGTCTGCTGGACACGGCTTCCGGGATGCCGTCAAGTATTATCTGCCCAAGCTGCTGCTGGTGCCCATTTGCCATGCTTTTGTGTACTTTGACTACATCAAACATCTGATGGATCTCAGCTCCTCGCAGGATGACATCGAGAGCTTTGAGCAAGTGCAGGGTCTCCTCCATCCGCTTCACTGCGATCTCGAAAAGGTCATGGCCAGCGTATCCAAGGAGCGCCAGGTGCCAGTCAGTGGGCGTGTGCGTCGCCAATTAGCCATCGAACGGACACGAGAGCTTCAGGTGAAGGTGGAGCATTGGGATGACAAGGATGTGGGCCAGAATTGCAATGAGTTTATACGCGGTAAGTGCGGGGAAATGAGCGGTAGATAATCCCAAATTTTAAACTGATTCCTTTACAGAGGACTCTCTCAGCAAGCTGGCATCGGGCAAACGCATTTGGAGCGAGCGTAAGGTCTTTCTCTTCGATGGCTTAATGGTTCTGTGCAAGGCAAATACCAAGAAGCAGACACCATCGGCCGGGGCCACGGCCTATGATTACCGACTGAAGGAGAAGTTCTTTATGCGACGCGTCGAGATCATTGACAAGGTGGACAGCGAGGAGCTGAAGAACAGCTTTGAGCTTGTCACCAGAATGCAGCCGGCCATTGTGCTGACGGCCAAGAATGCACAGCACAAGCACGACTGGATGGCAGATCTACTGATGGTGAACACCAAGTCGATGCTGGATCGTATCCTCGACAGCATACTGCAGGACATTGAACGCAAGCATCCGCTGCGCATGCCCAGCCCAGAGATCTACAAGTTTGCCGTTCCCGACAGCGGGGAGAACATCGTGTTGGAGGAGCGCGAGAGCGCTGGAGTGCCAATGATCAAGGGGGCCACTCTGTGCAAGCTCATCGAGCGCCTCACCTATCACATATATGCGGACCCCACCTTTGTGCGCACCTTTCTCACGACATATCGCTACTTCTGCTCGCCCCAGCAGCTGCTGCAGCTGCTAATCGAACGGTTTAACATACCCGACCCGAGTTTGGTGTATCAGGATGCTGTCTTTGGCACGGGTGGCCTTGGTGGCGGCGGCGGTGGGGGTGACAAGGAGCACAAGAACTCGCAGCGCGAGGACTGGAAACGTTACCGCAAGGAGT